ACCCCTCTTTAGCACATCCATGCCTCCAGCCTGAGGGATCTTAGAGGGGTGCCTGTTCATTCTGGAATGAACAGATTGCTTCTCTTTATTAGACCACTTTTCAAGGCACTTTTTTTCCAAAGCTTCTAAGAAAAAGGAAGAGATAGAATTTGGTACTGTTTATTTGTCAGTGTCTTGGACAGCGGTTTAAAAAAGTGAAGCTGGAGAGGTGATGTGGCTTGGTTTATCATTTACTGGAATTATCCTGTGAAAGAGCTTTGAAGGGTGTCCAGAGCCTCTGGTGAGCTCTCCTCTACCCCCTTATGCGAACATGAAAATATACACACGAAACCGACTGGTACAAGTTCCCTGGTACAAATCCCAGAAACAACATTATAAAAGCAAGTCACTCTACCAAACCTTTGGTGTGTGAGCTAGCACCCGAGCGCTGCTATTTCTGACGTGGCAGAACGGTGCGTGCCTTACCATATGGGTTCATGTGGTCGCCTGGCATTTGTGGAGGGGTGAGACCCTGCTGAAATGGGTCTGTGCCATAGCTGCTCTGATCCATTGCTACAATCTGCTGCTGTGGCGGTGCGAGCGGTGTGTAAGATGTCATCATCCCCTCCATTCGGTTGGACATCACTTCTGCAAAGCAAACAGGAGGGCATGGTCACGGCTCAGGAACAAAGAGGCAGCAGACAGCAGCATCGGTGGCAATACTGAACCCGGGCGCAGCGTCAATGTGGTGAGGTGCGTCCTGTCACTCAGAGGAGCCTTCCAAACTTTGAGAGTCCAACCCTCAGCAGTAAGTTGCAAGAGGTGGAATTTCTGACCCTATCATTTCTGGAGCGCCTGGGTGCTGGACCGTATTGTCCCAAAGTCTGCCCTGTGCAAGACAGCGCCCTGTTATTCCCTAACTTCTGTTGGTACCAGTTTTTCTGGCTCTGCGTAAAGGGGAGGCTTTGGGGCTGCAAGGCCCTGGGAGCTGGAGAACCGCAGGAGCATCCACGGAGCAGCGGGAGAAGCCCTGGTGCCGCTGTGCAGCTCCTGCCCGGCTGCTGGGGCTCGGGCAGGGCTGAGCATGGGTCCCCTTTCTTAAGGAGAAAACATACAGGAGGATCTACCCGGAGCGAGCCTCCTGGAGATCTCCTCTGGCGAACGCGCCTCTGGACTGCACACTTCTAGAAAGGAGGCAGCGGCTTCTGACACTGCCAGGGTCTGGGCCCGTGGGAGACCGCTGGGATAACCCGGGGTGGGCACTCGGACACAGCACCTCTGTGTGTTTCCGCGGAGGCTGGCAGACGCTACCCACAGACCTGCGCGTGCCTGGTGCGGCTGTACCTAAAGCACGGCGTGAGAACGGCATTTCCAGAAACCCTGCGGATTCTCTGCCCCTTGTTTTGCCTCCATCACAAATCCCCTACCTTGCCCGAGTCGCTGCGAGTTCTGTTGCTCCTGCTGCTGCTGATGCCTTCGTGCTAGTTTTTTCATCTGAATAAAACAGGAAGAACAGAACAATCTCATGGCTCTGGATGCAACAATTCATTTCCTTACAAAACTCTCTGCGAACATCCCATCAACTATACAGACCCTTTGTATTCATGCATGCACCACTCTGGGTTCAGTTTCATTTCTAAGCTTAAACATTTCAGTTTCTAGTTCATATTTGCATGCAGAATCTACTCCCCACCTCCTGTTGCTTTGAGCACACAAAGTTCGTGCCCGTGTTTGAAAGCTGCCTTCTTGTATGGATGCAGACAGCAGCCCGTGCAAAATACATACAGCTCGGCCCCTGGGATGCCTGGTATGTACACGGAGGACAACTTGTGTTTTACTTTTGACAGCTTGACAACAACCTACCTTTGCTCTTTGGTTTTGAAACCAGACCTGGACAACTCGGACACTGAGTCCTGTTTCAGCCGCTAGTGTTTCTCTGACCTACAGGAGGAAATGTTCAATGATGTCATGTTAAATATTTTTTTAAAAAAGCCGATCCGTTATGTTAGGTGGAATATGCTTGTCCTTACAATAAAAACTGCATGTATAGAATTACTTTTAAAAACCCCTCGTACTTTTGCCCAGTTTGTCCAAACTCTGCCCTTCACGCTGCTGCTGTTTCACAAGGACTGAAGACGCAGTCTGAGCATCAACGGACGCTGCCCTGGTTTCTGTCGTCACCCCAGGGCACCGGCTGCTGTCCCAGGGAGAGGCGGGGGGCTACCTGGGGCTGCGGACTGACCCTACCGCGCCCACGCCCTCTGTCAGAGCTGACTTTGGCTCCCTGATGAAGCACCTACCTTCCTACAGGGCTTGGAAGACACCTCAAAGGATGCTTTGAACGCTCGTCTCTGCTGCGTAGTAAGTATTGTCCTTGGCCGTTTGGGTCTTCTTGGGTCCTTCCCATCATCACTTCCTTTCCCTTGGGTTACTTGTCCTTTGGTGGGCTTAACATCTCCGTCCTCATCATCACTTTTAACTGGTGAAAGACAAGCAGGATATAAAATCGTACTTGTTCCACTAAGATAACCGGGTGTTTGAGACCCCCTCTTCAGCCACCAAACCAGTCAGCAGGTTCCGCTACCGTCCCGTCTTTATCTGAACGCCTAAAGCAACTACAGGCAGTAGTGTTCCCACCGTGCTGGGAACCTCAACCAGTGGCAACGGCTGACGAGTAAGCGCCAGTTCTGTTGTGAAAAACAACTTCTCCGCTCAGCGCATTTTATTTCACCAGACTGACGACTTTCCTTCCAGAGAACATTAATACACTGTTATAGGGGCTTCAACATGGAGAAACACACAGCAATTTTTATACTCAAAGATTACATTTAGGGAATTAACAAATTAGACTTTAATTCATTTTAGGGCCTGATTATTATGCACCCAGCAATCTCATCACCTTTTACTTTAATAAGCATCTTTTGCCTAATGATTAAAGAGAAGTTCTGTCATTTTAATAACCATGCCATTATTAACTTTCCAGCATGCCATTTCTAAGGAAAGGTTTGTGAGGATTAATATTGCTCACTGGAGAGTTACTTCTGTGTCCAGCGGATCAACATTCGATCGGAGAAGGACACGGCCCCCGCCAGGGCGGTGTGGAAGCGCTGGCTCCCGCGCAGGCAGCTGGGGGATCTGCGTTCCCATGCATCAGACAACAGGGGAGAAAACGTCCCACTTCATTTGTCACCTTGTTTTTCAGGTTTGGGTTTGGCTAACAGCAAGTAACGAGGGGGAAAAAGCATCTCCAGGAGTAAGAGAGGAGCCTCTGTGCCAAGGGCAAACGAAATTGAAACCAAGGCTGTTTTGTGCCACTGCAGTAGCTGACTGCTGGTCACCAAGCACCAAGCCTGGTCCGGAGGGGGAGAGCCCACCCATGCCCAAAGCAGACCTCAGGCACAGCCGGGTGGCGAACAGCAGCCACCAGCGCCCGTGCGGTGGGAGGGGAGGGCAGGGCAGGAGGGACCCCAGGCCACCGCTGCTGCGGGGGGACAGCCCCGCACACGCAACTTTTCGAAGGGGGGCTGTCTGGACAGACGGGTGGACAGCAGGATGCTGACGTTGGCGATGAGAGGATGACAAGCTGAAGGGCAAGTAGGAAACTCATGTGCCTCGGGCAAATTCACCCCAACCCTGCGCCGTGAGATTTACAGAGCAGAGCACTCACGGTCCTGCAAACGCAGTACGGCAATAAATGACACGTTGCTCCAAGAAAGGGCCCGGCCCTGCACGTCCTGCTGAGTCAGCAGTGACCTCTGTCTTGCAGCATTCCTGATGCGAAAATACGGATTTCAGCAATGTGGAGAATACGGCTCTCGGATTAGAGATTAAGGATAATTGCCGCTCCTAGCTAAACTGGGATAATACATTTTCCCATAAACCAGAGGCAAACATTCATGTCATTTGTACGCTTAATGGAACGGTAATTGTTGATTTTCTTAGACGTTTTCTTGGGAAACAAGTGTGCAATCACGATCGCTGGCAGCAATTTGTGCCCATGGTGTCTCTAGTCTTGGCATCAGCCAAGCAGCGGGAGGTTCCCAGTCTCCTGAAGTGCATATCCCAGCGGAAGGAGCCAACCCTCCGTCTCCCCTGACACTGCCCGTGAGCCTGAACGTTAGCACCCAGCACTGCGAGACCCCTGGGTGCTGGACAGCAGACCCCAAATCCAGCGTGTGAACTATTTGCCCTGTGCCGTACAGTGCTCCTGGCCCCGGACAGACAGCAAGCGGCTTCGGCTCACTCTCTTTCACACCCTTCCCCATGAAATGGGTGAAGGAAGGGAAGCATCTGTCTCTCCATCACGGAGAGGAACTCAGGGAAGGCACCCACGGGCTGCTATCGGCTGCGAGGGCTCCGCTGCCGTCTTCAGGAGAAGGCAAAAGCTCTGGTCACAGCACGGTGACCCCCCTGCCTCAACTCCCAGGCCAAGCGGGGCAGACTCGTGCAGCCGTTCCGCTCAGCCCCCAGTTCCCTCTGAAGAGAGGTCGCACTGCGAATTAGCAGCAGTGCATTTTAGTGAGGTATCAAGCCTGTCGCCCCTTGGTCCTGAACGGTTTGCACTCATTCAGGAACGGCACGGGACCTGGAGGATGCTCCTGGGGGTCGGTCACAGGCAAACTTTGTCGTACTTCTGTGCTACAGGTAGCACACAAGCCATAGCAGAGCTGCCCTTGGGACGGCTCCCAGGTGGTGCCCCCGGCTGACACCGGAATGGGGCTCAGACACAAAGCAGCGAGTGGGCGTCAGAGAGGATCAGAGCCCAGAGCCTCAGCAGCAGCGGAGAGACGCTGCCAGGGACGAGTCTGGGTGGAAGTCAGGGGGCCCAGCACTGCACTCGGCCCGGCCGCACCCAGAGACGGGCTCCCCTAAAATCCTCATTCCATTCACTGCTCGGTCCTTTTCTTTTTGTGTCAGCCCCCTGGCTGCCTTCACGGGAGCAGGTACGTGGGCGGCCTGGCCAAGCTGCCCCGGCTCCCTGCGCCGCACGTGACGTCCCTCCTCAGCTCCTCTCGGGCTCTCCCCAGAGCTTCTGTGCTGCCCTTCCAGCTTTTCTTAAAGTCACCCTTTGTGATTAGCAGAGGGAATACTCTTGAAAATCACACCGCTGCTTCGCCCATCTTCCCAGCTTGGTGCTGAAAGGGGGTGTGTGGAAGATCCCCTGAAGCACACACGGAGCGGAGGGGGGGATGCCTATGGCCAACAGCACTCTGAGCACAGCCTCGGAGGGAGGGATGCCTATGGCCAACAGCACAGCCTCGGAGTGAGGGATGCCTATGGCCAACAGCACACCCTGACCGCGGCCTCGGTGGCTGGAGTCGGTCTGATTCACTCTCTGCGATCTTACAGAAAAACACCCCGAGGAAACCAAACAGGGTTTGCCCTTTGCTAAGCAGCGTGGTGAGGAAGGGATCGAGTTAGGGAGAACAGACCGCAAGTGGGGATTTATTTTAGCCGTGCCTGCTGATTGCATGTGCACGTGGATGAAGTGGATGTGCACAGGGATACACTTCTCCGTAAGAAAGCTCCACAGACCCGCGTGGCTTTTCCAGTCGGAGCAGCTCACCTGAGTCTGAGTCGTCCGGGCTGACCGAGCTCAACAAGTCCTTCTCTTTTTCATAGTCACTTTTGCAGAGCAACTGCCCCTCCTTGAGCACAAATTCGTCCCCTTTCCTCAGCTGCCGTTCGCAAACGCAGCAGCAGAAACAGCTTAAGTGGTAAACGCACTCCAGGGCTCTCATCACAAACTCTGTCGGGGCGATCTTTTCCATGCAGCCGCTGCACTTCGCAGCAAACAGCCTGTAAGGAAGAGAGGCAGGGAAGTCAAAGGGGATGTCAGATCATACACTGCGTGAATTCAAATATAGCAAATTCTTTAATTTAACCACAGATCAGCTCGGCTCACACTTGTGCACACTGGGAGACTTGCCTTGGAAACACCACGGGCATGCAGGCATCTCTGTCCCTTTGCTCTAGAGATACCCAAACCACCAAGATTTGTCCTTATCGCACTGTTTTGTTCCTCTTCAGAAAGAGAAACCAAAGAGAGCTCTCAGAGTTTGGGTGACTTGTTCAACACCAAATTTATTTTAATTCACCTTTTGAGGAAGGGCCAATTCACGCTCTGCTTTATACTGGCTCTCTGGTTTCAGCACTTAAACCCTATTCTGAATAGATTTCGTGGCTTCCCACTTCTGGCACTGGCTGTCTCTGAGGAGGCTGATAAAGGAACACAGAACAAGCATGAAAACTCGGTGCTATTGCTGAGGAGCCGCCGCGTGCGTGCAACTGATAAAGAGAGGAGTGAAATAACATGGTTTTTCTCAGGATGTTGAGTTATTCCAGAACGACCTGCCTCTGGAGGGAGGATGTGCATTTAAATGGTGTGAACCGTCCTTTGGCAGGGATAGGCAGTGATACAATCTGCCAAATTACCACTAGAATCACAGGCTCTAGCACATACACCGTACTCCAGACTGGTTCTTACTAAAGCTTTACAAACCCCCTCTTTCATCCATCGTTAATTTTCTAAGATAAAGTTAGAGTGATTTAGATTAATTTTACTTTGCTTTTCTAACGGCGACCGGGAATCTCCCTAAGTGAGCTTTTAGGAAGAGGGCTGCTTCAAATAAAGACAAATAGCGCAGTTATGTCCCCGTATCACCCAGTGGGCTCGGTGATTTGGAATTCAGTGTCTTTTATGGCAATGCATCAAAGTGCAAGGTGTGTTAATATTTACATTTCGGCAATGAAATTAAGTCAACTGCACCCATGTGTTTGCAGGAAAAAAGGAGATTCCACCGTTTAGGATGGGGTACTCTGATTTTTTTTTTTTTCATCCTCAAAATTATCCCCTTTTGATTATCTTTGATTTTGGAAGGCACAGGCTGTGGTAGTTGCTGATTCCTCCAAAGCCTCCATTTTGTCTGAGCTGAGCACAGCAAAATGGCAGTCGCCAGCTCCTCTGCAGAGTGATGGAGCCACAGAATGGGCAGGAGGGAGAAGAAAATGTAAATACTTTGCATACAGCATCCCAAGAAAGGCTGAGTGCCCAAGAACTTGCGGGTTTTCCCCGTCTGTATCTTTCGATCTAATACAAGGTCTACACTGTGAACCCTGCCGGCTCGGTGCGCACCTTCGCACGACCGCAGCCGCAGGATAACGGCTGCGCACGGAACAGGCCACGCGGGGCGGACCGAGTGGCTCTCTTTTGGGTACGCAATGAATTAAATCTATTAAAGGGGAACCGATGCCACACAAGACCACAGCCACTGCTCGTAAACAGGCCCTCTTATTTCATGCAGTCTGCTGGGCTTGTCTGCAGGGTTTTCTCTTCTGTTTGACGCAAACGTTAACAGAAAGAGAAATGCAATTTTACATTCTGCCTAGTAAATATCACAAAAACACGGCAATGCCTTAGCTAGCAAATTCCTAAGCAGGAAATATTTTTCTCTATACACAATCACCTATCTGAAAGGATTAAAACAGAGGGGGGGAAAAGAGCAAACAGATTTTAAGCACTTTAAAAAGTTGTTTCTGTTTAACTGCTTAAACCTCTTTGACTCAGTTTAATTAAGCTTGTCCCTTTTGTCCGAGGCTGCTGTTCCGACGGAGCGCTGCAGCGCTCGGCAGAGCGGGG